AGGTGACCAGATTTTAACATTGGAAAAGCGGGACACCATTGATAAAACTCATATCCTGGCAAAATAGCCACATGGCAGCCAAAAACCGTATACCCTAGCTTGTCATACGTTCTTTCCAAAAATCGGAACTTTTTTAAAACGCCGTGGGACAAGGGAAAAATTGTTAAAAATCGGGAGTGTCCCACCAAAAGCAGGACGTCTGGTCACCTTATGCATGGAAGGTGGCTGCTTGGTGACTGAAGTGCCAGGGCACATCATTAGGTTTCTGCCAGCCACGGAGATACAGGGCCCAGCCAGCTTGGCACATAACCTCGTCATCACAGCCAGGTGCCTCACACGTGGTCAGTAATATGCAAAGTGATCCATCAATTTATTTATTTTATTTTTTACCATTGTCATAAATGTGACATGCCAGACAAGGTAGTGGATAAGAGAGGGGTGGCTGTATCCAGAGAGTAGATTTTTCACTGTTGTAAATGCAAAATGTGTAACTGAGGCATGCGGTGTATTAAATTTTAGTCACCTACAGCTCTTTCTATGCCCAAGGACCCCTTCACTTTATCTGAAAAAGAGATAAGTGAAGGTTGGGACTCGTGTTGTTATTATTCGTGTTATTACTGAGTTTCTGTCCGACTTTCAGCTCGGGGGTGGGAGCTGGGGGCTGGGGGGGAATCCTTCCTGTGTCCCAGGGAGGCTATTGTTGATAAAGCTGAGATTCAGCGGCATGGCCCATTGATTCAGCCTGGAGGACGTGCAGGTGTGGGTGGAGAGCTGTTTGGTGGGCCGCTTGGCCAAGAACAGTGTGGTTGGCAATAACGAATAAGCATGTCATAACTCATCTAACTCTATCTTGGCCAGTGTTACACTCTTTAAAAAGACAATCTGCTCTTTCAGTCCTATTAGAAGTCCTATTGTTCCTATTAGAAGTGGCCCTTTTCCCCTGGACTGTTGTGCTCTTGTCTTGTATGTTTCACTATCCAGGGGGCTTTGGGAGCCAGCCAAAAGCTGAGGTTCTGGTAAAGAATGGCCGATCGAAAGCCCAGATCCTCCTGGCTGCCCTCCCAGGAGCCTCGAGTGCTATTGCAGTAAGTGGAGTGTTTTCTTTATTAGTGTGTTACAAGGAGTAGAAAGGCTTTCCTGACTGGTCTGTTAATAATATTTTTGACGCACAGGACACACACATGGTCACACAGAAAGAGGATAGACGTACAGAGTCAGCTGTCACTTTCCATGCTCCTTCCAGGTCCCAGTTCTCTCGTCACCCCTGGGTTTAATAGTCACTTCTTTCTTTCAGGGTTTTCTTTCTCTTGGTTTTGTTGCTTTATGTTTCATTCAACTAGAATGTATTGGAGAGGCTGCTTATAGGAAGTGACAGTCCCTGGGGTGGGGCAAGGCGTTTCAATCAAGTACATGCAACTAACAGAAAGGTTGGTGGTTCAAATCCACTTGGAGGCACCGTGGACGAAAGTCTTGGTGATGGACTTCCGAAAGATGGCAGCCATTGACAGCCTGGGGTTACCATGCAGAAAAATCAAGTCAGTGGTGATGGGTTTGGTTATTTGATGTATTTTGACATGAAAATCTAAATTAGTTTCTGACTGCCCACTGTTGTTGCTTGTTTGTTTTTACGAAATAACCAAACAGTTGTCAGACACCATGTATTCCCTTCCCCAAGGCTGTTTGATGCACCACCACCACCCTACTACCCCCAGGAACCCATCTATTTTTCTCTTTGTCATCATTGCCTCTTCTAAAGTAAACTTTTGGAAATTTAGTTTGTTTCCAAAGTAATCCTTGGAATGATGGTTGGAAAGGCATTAAACTTATATTTGAGTTTGGGGGCAAAAATGGCAGGGTTGTAGCTCAGAGCAAAACTCTGATGGGCAGTTAGAGTCTCTCACAGGTAGGTGGCCTTTGGGTCCTGGCCCTCCTGACAGTGCAGCTGCCTGAGAGGCACGGAGCTTGTAAACTTTTTTTGTAGCTGCTGGCAATGGCTAGCACCCTCACTGCCCTGTTAGCTGCTCCGGACTGTGGCTGTGGAGAACTGACCAGTGCCAGAACTGGTTACGTCTTATTGTGCGGATGCATATCGTTCTTTCACGATTTAATGTTTCCATTCAGGGTATGTTTCTGCACTGTAGCCTGCATCATTTCAAAGGGATAATTGTTTTCCCAAAGAAACATCTTCCAAAAAAACCCTCTCGGGCCCAAACTCAGAGATCACACCGGAGGGATAAGGCAGAGGGTGAGGATGTGACCTGGGGGCCACACCTGTTCTCTCCCCACCCCACCCCCACCCCTAGGGAGAAGGAGACTCCTGCTCCACCCCAGCCCAAGGCAGAGGTCATGTGAGCCTCCACCATCCAACTTCCTTTACCTTATTCTGACATCACCTGCCCCTCCCACAGCACTCTGCTTTGGGCTGCATTTGATAATCCCTTGCTGTGGCCATGCAGAACTCACAATTAAGGGTTTATTAGGGAATTTAATAGTTTGTCCCAAATTAGGATCAGCAAACAATAAGGATACTGTCTCCTTGGCCACAGCCAAGTCTCTCTGGTTCTCAGCCTCTCAGCCACGTGGTCAGTACTTTGGCCTTCGCCTCCATGGGCCAGGAAGCCAGACCCATGTCACTCTGTCCTACAGTTCCATAGTCTCAGGCTAGATAGGAGAAGGGGCCCTAGTTCAGCACTGCTCAGTTTCCTGCCATGGTGGCCTCCACCACTTCAGACAGAGACCTTGAACATGACCTTTCAAGGTCTTAGGCTTCTCCTCCTGCTTCAGAAATGACTCCTCAAAGATGGCTCACCCCTCCTATTGGAGGAGGTGGTAGCAAGACCTGACAGGTCTCCTCTGTTGGTGTTACGCTTGTCCTGTTTGCATGTTCCCACCCAGTCATTTGATGGGAGTTCCCGAGCCTTGGGAGAAGAGCCCATTAAACTCGATTAAGACATTGCACTCCACCACACCTCTTCTCTAGAAGGACTGGGCTTTTAGTTCCTGTAAACGATTCATCTTGGAAACTAACGGAAGGTCGCTAAGTCTGCATTGACTCAATGGCAGCAAGTTTGTACCTCTTCCCAGCCACCCATCGCATTTCTCTCTGGTGCTCAGCCTCGGGGTCTGCTGGCCTTTGCTTTGTTTTGTGGCAGACGGCCACCTTCTGCTCTGCCTCTGGTGCCGCTGCCCTGCTTAGGGCTCGCACACTGCTCCACGGGCCGCCTTCTTCTGCCAGCTATGGAACCCCTCGCTGCTGCTGACCAGAGGAGCCCTGGTGCCGCAGTGGGCACACGTCGAGCTGCAGTCTGAGAGGCCAGCTGCTTGACACCCTGATACCACCAGCAGCTCTGCCAGAGAAAGACTGGGCTTTCTACTCCGAACAGCAGTTACCGTCTCAGAAGCCCACCCGGTTGTCAGGAGTGGCTGTGAGCACCATGGACTCGATGGCCGGCCGTGAGTTTGGTGTTGAGTTGGCTTCTGAGATGTACACCCAGTGGAACGCCACAACGGACCCACCCTCTCAGTTTCACACACCCCACTTGCATGGTCTCACGCAGTCATTTGTGGGAGGTAGAGAGAGACACCGGTGGTGACTGGCAGAGCCGGTCGCTCTCCCTCGGGGCTGTAGCTACTGCCAGAGAGAGGTGCGCACAGTACAGCACTGTGTGGTCAGCGGGCCTTTTGAGCACCTCACAGTGGGCCACGTTAGAGTGCAGAGTTTGATCGTTTGGAGTTTACAGCCCGACCTTTTCAGGAGCTCCCAAAACTGATTCTGTCACCACACTGGCTATCTCTCCACCTCCCAGTCATGTCACTGTCCATCCTGTCTTCTGGTCTCCTGTGTGGTGCTGCTCCAGAGTCAGGCAGCCAGCTGCATGCGTCCTGAGCCTGGCCCCCGTGAGCCGGGCTCAGCTTCCTCAGCACTTCTTCCGTACCTCCTGTGATGGGGGTCTACAGTAAAACATGCATAGGGACGTCCCAATGTTGGGAGCACGTGTGCCTTTGTCTTTGAATTCCATTCTTCTGCAAACCTTTTGATCTGTTTTGTGTAAATCAACTTTTAATGTTGGCCACTCAGGCTCATTTAACACGTTGGAAAGTCAGGCAGCTCATATAATAAGATCGTGTTCTTCCAATGTATATCAAAGCCCCAAATCTAAACTCAATGAAATTGCTAGGTTTTTTGGTTTGTGTTTTTATTCCAGAATTAAGTTGGTAAATGCATCCTCTCTGTCGGGATCTGCCAGCAGCACCCTGTGCCAGCCGTCCCTCAGACCCACCAAGCGGCTGTCGGCAGGCAGCCCTGAGGTGGGAAAGCCGCCCTGGCGGGACAGGCCTACAGAGGCTAGGCCTAGATCTAAGCCACCAGCGAGCCCAGAGAAACTGGGTTATCATGCAACCTTCTCCCGACAGGTTTAGCTTAACCTGCGGCAGAGCTAGTCTGAGCTGGCTTCTATTTCATTAGCACTTCCAGCACATCTGTCAGCCTCGGCTCCTCCCAGGACCGTGCACACTGAAGCATGGGACCAGAGGGACACCCAGGAAGTGCCTCATCATGTGTGTTGACTGAGTGAGTTCTATGCACAGAATTGAGGCCACGCCTGTGGCCTCAGCCTAAACCCCAGGTGGGACATGTTTATTTGGAGCCTCTCCTGTGACCCCAGAGAACGCAGGGTGGATGAGATGAGGGGCTGGGTACAATGGAGCCCGGCATCAGAAAGGGTTTGCACACTAGGCCTCCTCGTTGGCAAGTTAGGGCTTGGGCTTGGGCTTAAAGCCGCACTTACCAGGCACAGCTTGTCAAAAGCAAGTGGCTCCAAGCCAACCACCTGGTGCCTATGCTGCTGTGTGGGGAGTGCCTCTAACAGGGCAGCGGGTCTAGGACACCCTTGAGCAGTGAGCGCATTTCTAGAAGGTTGTCGCAAGGGCTGGTCCACTGAGAGGTCTGTCAAAGCACAGTGTTGGTTTGGCTTATTTTTCTGATGGTGTGGCTGTTAAAGATCTGCAGGTATCTTCCGGGATCCAGCAGCGCTACCTCAGTGTGGGCGAGAGCAGCGGACGGCCTCAGGCCTGCAGTGCAAAGCCAGCCATGGTGCCGTCTGACTTCTTGTTGCAGCTTGTGTGTGTAGTTGAGATCAACGGGCTCCGTGACGCAGCTGCAGAACCGGTCAATGATTTGGTGGGTAGGAGAGAGATGGATCATTTGAACCTGCCGTGCGCGCCCCCCCCCCCCCCCCCCCCCGAACTCTCAGCATTGAAGTGCTCTTGTTCGGGTGTCCACTGTATCTCCCCTTGCATTCTCAGACCCAGCGCCCTGCACTGCCGGTTAGGGGCCTGACACGGGGAGATTTTTATAGACTGCTGCAGTTGGGGTTGGGACTAGGCTTTCTGGGTCCAGGCTTTGTCACAGTAGAACCCCAAATGGGTTTTGGGAAGCATGATTCTGGTTAACTAACATCCCCCTGTGACTGTCCTTTCTCTCCTTTCTTGCCCTGCCCCTGTAGCCGCTCCTGAAGCATCTGCACTGAGCTGGGCCCTCATCTCTCTGGAGCCCTGGCGGTATCACGGGTTATGCATTGGGCTGCTTGCCACAAGGTCAGCAGTTCAAACCCAACGGATATTCCTCAGGAGAAAAATGAGACTGTCACCTCCCATAAGGATTTACAGCCTCAGAAACCCAAAGGGGCAATTCTGTTCTGTCCCATAGGGTCATTGTAAGATTACTATGAGTTGGAATCCACTCAGTGGCAGTGAATGTGGCTGTAAATCGCTCCCACTGCCATCAAGAGTGACAGCAGCTCAGTGAGTAGCCCACTGTGCCACCAGGGCTCCGGGCCTCATGGAGAGCTGCGGCTCTCAGCTGAGGCTGGACAACCCCCTGCCGGATGCATGCAGAAACGCAAGTGGGGGAGGCACCTGGATGAACAAGGCCATTCCACGGTCAGGAACAGGTGTTCTAAGATGGCCTATGCCCAGGAAGTACCAAATTTATAGAGACATTCTTAAGACATTTTTAAAGCAACTGCATTTTTTTCGCTAATTGTTTTTCAGAAAGAATAGTTTACCGACCTAAGCCAAGAGTCTCCCTCAAAGGCTAAGGAAAAATCATGTGTGCACTGGGCCAGTTGTCCACGGATTCCTGTCCTTGCTGCTGTGGTGGTGCCCCGTCAGACCTGGGAGAAGGACTAGGGGCAGGCTCCTCATGCACACAGCTTTCTGAGCTCAGCATCAGGAGCAGATTTCGGCTGTCAGTGGGCCTGAGCACTGGCCTGCAGGTGGTTCAGGGGCCACCTCAGCTCCAGTGGCTTGGCTTGCTTATCACTGACAGGATGCAAATCTAGTCCATTTAGAGAATGTCTTGGGGGATTAGTTTTTCTAGCCATTCACTCTGGCTACCTCTAAGGGCTCTGTGGAGTAGCCCCCTCAACAGCTCTGGAAGTCGCTGCACGTGGCCTGCAGCTGCAGCACCCACTGGCAGTAGAGCCACGAGGTGAGCTCACGTTGGGCGCAGTTGCTGTTCTCTTGGGCCCACCGCCATTGACTTAAAAGGCCAAACAAAGCATGTGGTCATCTGCCGAGTCCACTGGGTCCTCCCGGGGCCTGGAGTGTGGGTGTTTACAGACATGCTGAGGGTCTTCTGGGGCCTCGAGTAAGGTGGTACCACGGGCACCCTTGGCCCCTGCTCCCTTCTCCCTTGGGGGCTGGGACCGAAGCAGTGTAGAGCATGAAGTTTGTGGTATGTATTCCTCCCCCTCCCAGGCCTGCACTCCTTTCCACCCTTAAGTGGATTTTCTTTAAACCTCCCTTCTCCCCTTATACATGTGCCCTCCCTGTCAAGTGATTTCAGCTCGAGGACCTCATAGAGCGAGCAGAATTGCCCGAGGGTCTCCTGGTGTGTAATCTTCAAGGAGCAGGTTGCCACTTTTAAGCCCCTGAGATGTTGACAGCCATGTGCTTACCTGCTGTGCCACCAGCATTCCTGTCTTACTGGTGAGTCAGGAAAAAGTTGAAGGAGGGGCCAAGAGTCTGAGTAAGAAACCAGACTGTTGAGAGAGCTGAGGCTCTGGCTTCCAGGCTGGAGACCCATCGCTTTACCCTCTGGCCCTCTGTCTGGTAGGGCCCCACTAGCCCAGCTCAGCCCCAGGCCCTCAGAACAGCCCCTCTACACCCAGGGCCCCTGGAGGCCTTGTGTCAGTCGGTGGTGAATTGTTTGCCTTGGTACAGTATGCAGTGTCATGGCACAGCCTGTGCGACTCTAGGTGGTCTCTGGGACCAGAGCAGTGCCCCCACACATCCCAGCAGCAAAACCCCTGAAGCTTGCGGAGGTCCTCAGCAGCCCACTTGCCAGAGGGCTAAGCTTCTTAACTTCCCTCCCAGGCTCAGAAAGAAGTCAATGGAGGCTGAGTTTATGTGGAGACACCAAATGGACCTACCGGAAACCAGAGTGGCAAACCTAGTGCCCAGAATTTGAGCTCTCATACATCTGTTTTAGATGAAATTGCTATTTTTGTAGTTGATGTGGATATTTCTCAAGAAACCAAAAGGTCGAGTCCTATCCTGTTTGTCCCTAAGAGTTACAAAAATCTGCATTTTACGTCCTTTTGCTAAATGTGCCATCGCCTATTAGATCAAATGGGGTTTCTTCTTCATTGTGATGCAAGGGATTTTTTTGTAAAAGAGACAACTTCTGGGAGTGTGTGCTGCCCACCAGGGAACTGCCCCTTCTGCCTTGTAACAGGCCCACTCATTCCAACCAGATGTTTTCTGGAGTGAGTACCCTTGGACTTGGCTCTCCTCTTTGAGCTCAGTGTTGTCCTCAGGGAGGTGGGTAGGATTCTCTTCAGCAGTCGTCCAGACTGAAGGAAAACAAAACCACAGCACCAGTACTTGCGGCAGGCAGGCAGGCAGCAGTGTTAGCTATACACACTTCTGAGCTGGGAGTGGGGCCCAGGAGGTTAAGTGGCACAGTGAGTAACCGGCCCCTGGCCTGCCAGCCTGGCTCCTGCTGTCTGCTCTGCATCATTAAAAAGTGAGTCGTGATGGGCAAGGTCTTGAATAGCTATTGGTTTCTCAGGTGTGATGGCCACAGACCAGGAAGGAAAGTCGCTTGTAAACGCAGGTACGGAAGCTGACACTCTGGGCCCAGTGAAGGAAGCTTTGCACTTCCCTTTAACTTTTCGTTTCACCTGTCAGTTTCCTTTTTCCATCATTGGGTTCTTTTTCTCAGCCTTTCACTACTAGGTCTAAGACAGAGCCATGTCTATAAGCTGTTAATTGAGGCATAGGGAGCGGTGAGGGATCAATGACAGCTTACACTTTCAGTTCACCTACACATTCTCCCTGCTCCAATGCGATGGCAGGATGCAGTCTAGGGTTGTGCGGCGGTGCGGGGTCTGACAGCGTGTGCTTGTCTCCACAGTGACCCGGCCATGAAGCAGTTCCTGCTCTACTTGGACGAGTCCAATGCCCTGGGGAAGAAGTTCATCATCCAGGACATCGACGACACACATGTCTTCGTGGTAGCCGAGCTGGTCAGTGTCCTCCAGGAGCGAGTGGGGGAGTTAATGGACCAGAACGCCTTCTCTCTTACCCAGAAGTGAGAGCACTAGGTGTCACCCACCCAGCGATCTTCAGCGACCAGAGACAGACCATCGCCGTTCGGGGTCCTTTGTTCCTGACTAGACCTCTCCAGGGGCGGGCCACAGGAACCACCGTGGGGTCACGGGTCCAAAAATAGCCCCTGAGTGGACCTTGTTGTACCTTAGGTTTAAAAAAGGAAAAGAAGATGCTTAATTAACTGCTTGCCTGTGATTGGGATTTTATTATCATTTATTAAAATGCAAATATTAAAAAAAAGTTTTTGTACCTTTTTCATATCAATTTAAGACATCAAGAAAATAATGGAATATGCGCCCAAATGACCAGGCTAACCCAGGTTTTGCCTTTGCTTGTTCTTCTAGTATATGGGCCTTCTTGCTTTGTTCATTAGAAACCCCAGATTCACTGACGTGAGAAATATACCAGGAGGGGAACATTGGTGATATTTATGTCTCCTGAATACTAGTCACATATTAGCCAGTCCCCCTGGGGAAGAGAATATTTAATGTCAGCTCTTTTACTGAAGATGATTCAAAAGCTGTTGGAACCATCTATCAACAGGGAGCTACATGAAATTCAAGCCAGATTCAGGACTGGGTGAGGAAGCAAAGGACCGCTTTGCTGGTCTCAGATGGATCTTAGCTGAAAGCAGAGAATTCCAGAAAGATGCTTAGCTAGCTGCATCCTATTGACTGTGCGAAGGTATCGAACTGAGTGAATCCAAACAAACCAGCTCACATTGTGGAGAATGTGATTACCAGAATGCTATGCTCTTGCAGAATCTGGACATAGACCAAGAGGTAGTTGTTCAAATTGTACAAAGGGGTCCTGCGTGGTTTAAAACTAAGAAAGGGGTGCATCAGGTTTGTATCTTTTCATCACACTCATTCAACCACTTTGAGCCAGAATCAACCTGGTGGCATTGAGAGATTTTAGTCCATATGCTGAGCCAGTAATCCGAGAAGCTAGACTCTGAAGACAAACGTAACAGCAACCTGTCGTGTGTAGATGACACAGCTTTGCATGTTTAAACTGAAGAGGATTTGATGCACTTATCGATGAAAATCAATTTCTGCATTTAGGTTCCCAAACGTACTTGGCCCACCAAGTGGGCCTCCTCTTTTGCAGAAAAAAAGTTACTCAGCCTCCTCCCCTCCCCCAGCAATTAAAAACTTAAGTATCATAACCCACAATCCAAGATAAAGTGTAGGCATCTGCTATTGCAGTGCCCCGGGGCAGTGGGAGCTGGAGCGGAACGGTGTCATTCACTTTGGGAAACACTGCACCACAGCCTTCAGTGTATGGGTTTCACCTCCACATAAAATCCTCACAACAGAATCAGTAAGCAACTTGCTAAGGAGAGAAGATTGAAGTTGTTAGGAACTTCCTTTTACAGGCTTCCACAATCAACACGCAGAGAAGCAGCAGCCAGGACATCAGATGATGCACCAGAGTGAGCAAATCTGTTAGAAAGGCCTCCTCCGAGTATCAAAGTCTCTGAGGACGAAGGCGATATTGTCAATCGCCTCGTATATGAACTAAGGAAGACTGGACAAGAACTGACTCCTTTGAAGTGTTTTGGTGAATATTGAATATACTGGCCTGCCACAAGCATAGGAGCCCCGATGGCCTGGTGGTTACGAGTTGGACTGTAATCTGCAAAATAACTAATTTGAAACTACCACCCCACCCCCCAAGGGAGAAAGATGGGGCTTTCTACTCCATAAAATGTTCCAGCCTTGGAAACGCACAGGGCCCGTTCTAGCATGTCCTATGAGATCACTGTTGAGTCAGCATCAACTCAATGGCATTGCGTTTAGAGTTGAACCAGAAGAATGAACAGATCTGTGTTGGAAACAAGACGCCTTTGTGAGAGGGGCAAGACTGAGGGAGGCTATCATGCGCAGGAGTCATGGATAAAGGAAGACCACCCAAAAAAATGAGCTCATACCAAGGGCTCAAGCAGAAAGCACATGTGCTTGACACGGATGGATGGATGGATGGATGGATTGTTATAAGAGTTGTACGAGCCCCCACTAAAATGATTTTTTTTTTTTTAAAGGAAGCCCTAGATGGATTGACACAATGGCTGCAACTCGTGGCTCAGGATAGCAAAGATGGTTAGGGCACTATTTCGTCCTGTGACAGGCTGCTGCCAGGAGTCAGAACCGACGGAACAACAGTTCCAGATCCCTCAGGATAACCATTTTTTAGCGGTCAGAGGGTTGGAGCAGCCAAACAAGCAAACACACTACTTTGCGTCTTGAGTTTACCTGTGCAAACGTCTTCAGTTTTCCCACCAGGCCAAGCATTCTTTTATTAAGAAATCAGTTTTATTTGGATCCAAAACTAACCATGATACTGATGTGAATAAGGAGTGTCTGGGGGGAGACCCAAAGCCCATCTGTAGACAATTGTCCCCTACAGAGGGTTACAAGGAAGGGCGAGCCAGCCACGGTGTAGTTTAGCACCAATGAAGCACCCAGCAGTCCTCTAGTTCTTTAATGCTTCCTCCCCCTGACTATCATGACCCAGTTCTACCTTACAAATCCGGCTAGACCAGAGCATGTACATTGGTACAGATAAGAGCTCTCGACACTCGAAATCCAGGACAGGTAAACCTGCCAGGAACAGTAATGGGACTAGTGATACCCTGAGGGGCGGGGGAGGGGGGCGAAAGAGGGAATCATTGTGATGATGAACTTTTAACAAACACACACACACCCAGGGGGGTGAACAACAGAAATGTGAAGGGAGACAGCAGACTAGGATGAAAATAATGTAATTAGTCGAGGGTTCACACAGGTGGGAGTATGGGGGAGAGAGGGAAAAAGAGGAGTTGCTATCAAGGGCTCAGAAAGAAAATGCTTTGAAAATGATGGCAACATGTGCACAAGTGTGATTGATAACATGGATTGTTAGGAGAGCTTTAAGAGCCCTCAACAAAATGAGTAAAAGATAAAATTGGGGGGAAAATCTCCCTATGAGAATCCCTATTTAGACTTAAATTTTGGAAAAAGGGCACTGCAGCAGCCTCTGGGCAAACCCGTAACAGAGGGGACTTGTGCTCTTTCCTTCCGAGAGATCACCACGGCGAGAGGGCTGGGGTCCTGCAGTGGGAATGTTCCCGGAGGCAAAGAATGTCATGGCGTGATGAGGAATTGTGTCCAACCCAGCTTCCCGTCTCTTTATTCAGAACCTCTGTGCACTGTGTTCTGCTCACTTCATGCATGACTGACGCTGGAAACGATATCAGCTCTATTTGTGCTGTCCCCTTCACCCGCCCACACCGCTCTGATTCCCACACAACAATGCCCCTGCTTTGAGGGGTACTGGTACATCTGGTGCTAACGCTCATTCAGTGGGAGGTGTGTTTCTTCAGAATTTCCAGCTGTATTGAAATATGACTGGATCTTGTCTTTCTGTCCTTTTAAATTATTTTTACATACCTCAGATACTTGTCAACTCATACCATGTGTTTGGGGGTGTTTTCAGTAGTTGAAGGAGAACATTTTATTAAAACTTAAGACAAAGAACATCCAGATGAGGGAGGTAAGTAGCTGGAGGCCAAAATGGTGTCTGATGATTCCGTCCGGATGCCAGATACATCAGTCATGGAGCAAAGGACACTGTCACACGTTTATGATAGGTGGCAGATCCGTCCAGTGCAAGACAGGTGGGGGGGACAAGCAGGAACAGGACCATGATTGGGACAGTTAAATTGTGTTACAAGAGCTTACAAGATTGACTCAGGCCCTTCCGACCAAGGCAGTCAGGGCATGACTGATAGGGCCTGACTCATGACTGTTGACTCCCACTACATCAAGGACACACCCAGACAAACCCCTCAGGGAGACTGCCCCTCCCTAGGCTGGCAGGAGACTGGAAGCAACCCACTTTCCAATGAATACTCCCCTTTCTATTAACATGGGATTTGGGGAAGGTTTCTTTTAGAATTCCAGTATTAAGGAGGTGTGGAAGAAAGCGTATTGTATCCGGAGTGCAGAGAGCTAAGAAAGGGAAATCTCCGTGATGGTCATTCTTTTGGAAAGCTGCTGGGCAATGCCGAGCCCTTTGGGGACGTGTGTGACAAGGAAAGGCATCTGCACCCCCATTGTTGACTTGTCCAACCCTGAGAGCTTCTAGAAGCTGGCCCAGTGGCCTTGTGCTGCCATCGCTTGACCTACTGCACTTGCATCTCCAGAGCAGCAGGCGTTGGGTGCTTGACACTGGAAAAACTGGCCACCCACCCCTCACTTTGCAGCAGGGTTGGGTTTCCAAAACCGGGTTGTTATGCAAAATCAGTGTCAAATGAGAACTGGAGTCATGTTCTGCCTTACATCACTCCCCGTGTGTCCGATGCCCCAATGTGACTCCTGTGCCGTGGCAGGCTCCTCTCTTCTACCACCACAGAACCCATATGTGTTGGGATATGATGGTAACCCACTTCCCAGAGCCTGCCCTGCTCAGAGCTGCCACTCATCTGCCACCTTCCGTAGGTGGGAACCACAGCCCTGTATGGTGCCATCCCTCTCTCCTTCAACCACCCCACCCACCCGATCTCCCCAGCACCTTTGGGCTTTTGTCTGGCTTCCCTCTACCCACCCATGTCCACCCACCGTCACTGGATCAGGACATCGTGAACAGACAGGCATTACTCAGCCAATCAATCGGCTGCCGTCCCTTGTGTGGGCTCCACTCGTCACTGGAGCCCCCAGTATAACATCAGGGCCCAGACCATTAAAGGTGCCACTCAAGAATATTTTCAAAGTTGTCATCATAAATGTATACTATCAGACAACAAGATCAACAGTAAAGGGGAGTGTGGTAGTCACATTATTTCATGTCAACGTGAAGACATAAACGTGTAGGGATGATAATCAACTTGTCAATCAGGTCAGCCTGATGGTGCCTCCTTGTGGGCGTGGCCTTGGGAACTTTCCCCTCTCTCTCAGCCTTCACCTCCCTCCCGGCTGACCCTGATTGCTGCCAGAGCCCTGTGATGGTACCACCACCATTGTATGTACACAACTTTGCCCCCACTGACCTGGGAGCTTCCTGAATTCTACATCGTTGCTTGTGACTGCATGACTCTAAAGGACATTATGGACTAGTATCAGACTTACAGACTTGAGTTGGACAGGGCTTGGATGTTTTCCTGATTTATGTCAAGGTCTTGACATAAAGTTCTTTCTGACTCATATCTGAGTGTCTCTGGATTTGTTCCTCTAGTCAACCCGGCCTAACACAAG